AAACATTTAAGGTGACAAAGAGACATGGATATTTAATAATTTCTTTAGAATGATTCAGGTGGATAACGGATTCACCCTCAAATGACTGGCTTTGATACTTCTCCCCTCGAGTAAGAAAAATTCTTTAAAAAGCAGGAACTGCATTTTAAACTGGTTTTAAAGGGGGTTCCTGGTTTGTTTAGGAATTATGGTTTCTCTAGCTCAGCAAGAGCTCAGTCGCCAAACATACAGAAAGAGACTCCGCAGTGAAAAACACTAAAATAACAGAATCTCATTGGGTATGAGTAAACGTAAAGGTAGTTGCAGCTATGGCTATAGTAAAAGTAAGCAGAAAACTGAACATTTAGCAAATGAATACACTGTAAATTGTTCATTTGAAAAATGCAAGACGTATTTGTTACAATTCAGTGTCCACTGTTGACTTCCTAAATTGGATTTCATGGGAGAGAGACCCAGAGCCAGAGATTTGTGTGCTGGAAGTTTATTGTGGTACTTTTGGGAGTAAGACCCAGGAGAGAGGGAAAAACTGGCAGAGAAAGAAGTTGATCTGCAATTCAACAGCAATGAAGGCCACAGTCAGTCCTGTGGGGAGCTCTGGAGCTGGGATGGCCTTTCAGAATTGTCCTAAATTGAGGCAAGGAGCTCTCTTTGGCCGAAGGCATTTCTGAGGCAGGGACTCATTTGTAAACCTTCAACAGCTAATGTGGCAGCTGGGGCAATAAATGCCTCAGTCATGAATAGGAAATTTGGTGAGGGCATTCAGCATCCACTACAGTTAATATAGTCTCATCTTTCAAAGACAAGAGACGCTATGGCAGTCAAAGTGGTGAATGATGCATAGACCTCACTGGATTAACACCACATAGTTAGTATCACAGGAAATATGGTATGTTGTGTAATTTGGATGCCAAAAACCTGAGATCAAATTGTAGCTTGATCATTTATTAGCTGCAGACAAGGCAAGCTACATAATTTGTAGGGCCCATTACGAAATGAAAATGTGGACTCCCTTATTAAAAAGGTAGAAAAAGAGTGCCATTAAAAGTACTAAAATAAAAGCTTTCTTCTTCCTTTGACAGACCCTCTTCAGCTTCTTACGGTGTTTTTATTTGCTATTTAATGTTCTAAATAAAGAAGATTTTAATTTAAATTATTGGCATGAATTTTATCATTTCATCATATATCTTTATATTGAGCAATACCAGTTTAAAATGCAAATATAAGAGCATTTACTTTGAATACACCCATATATTTTATTCTTACCAGAACAGTGAAAACACTGCACTAATTCAACTGTTTTATTTCATTTCTTGATATAGAACACTCACATTCTGCCAACACTCTCTCCTTTCAACTTATGAATAAATAAGGAAAGACTTCTTAAAAAGTGTGCATTGCCCTATCTTTCTCTTTCCTTCTGTGTTATAATTTTCAGCATGAAGGATTGGCTCGTACAGGGAAGTAACATAAGTACACAAGACTTCTTGGTTGTTTGTGTTACTTAGCACACCATTGCCCGCTTTTTACATTTAAAGCAAATTCTGATTTGAATAGTAAGCTTGCTCAGTCATAGATATGACACACTTACTTTACACTGATTTTGAGTTTTACTGACCTCACACATTCCACAACAGAATTCTGTGCTCATGGGATGGCAAAGAGCACACACTGTGTGTAGCCCATCTGCTTATGCATATGCTCCCTTGTCCCATCTAACTTCACTTACAAAAAACAAATTCTATGCAGCTGCACAGATCATATCACTGACACTGACTATGAAGTTGACTCTAGCTATGGGACTTTGTAAATCATCCAATCCCTCTGAGCCTTAGTTTCCTAATCTGCAAAATTGGGATAATTATACTTAGCATGCAAATTTAAATAATTACCTGAGAACTAAGGAAACAATATATGTAAAATTGTTATACAAGGAGAGAAGAAAACTAATGTATACTGAGCTTCTGAGTCCCGCTTCGGCTATTCCAAAATACTTGCTCAAGATCATCCAAGACACCCTTTATCCCTTGAACCTTTGTAGATTTATTAGTCCTAGGAAATAATTTCTGCCTCTCTGAGTCCCTTCACCTGGTAATACTAACTCATTGTCAAATTCTACCTTTGATGCCACTTAACTTAACAAATGTTTATTAAGCACCTAATATGTGCCATGTGTTATGCAGGGGAGCAGAATGGGGTTCAAGTTAGCAACCATTCTCAAGACTGGTTAATTTCCCCTCTCCTTTGAACTTACCTCTGTCATAGCATGTATCACACTATGTTATATTGCCTGTTTGTATGTCTGCATCCCATCTATATTGTCTCCTTGATCTCCATCATAACTGTAGTACATACACTGTGCCTGGTATATAGTAGATACTCACTAAATATTTTTGATTGACCGAATGAATACTAGCCATTATTGGAATGCAAGGTGAAGAAGTTGATCAGCAGTTGAAAAGATGACCTGGATGAGGAGAGAGGAATGAACTGAAGAAATAAATTTGGGTAAGAAATGTATTTCTTAGCATATAGACTACAGAAGTCATGGAAAAAGAGGGGACATTCCAGGGAGAGTATGTATAAGAAGGAAGAAACCTGGGATGGAGCCTAAGCAACATGTACATATCAGGGGAGACATAAGTGGAAGGACCTGAGAAAAAGACTAAACCAGTGCTCACAGTGAGGTAGGTGAAAGATCAGAAGAAGGTGTGATTTCTGAGAAATTAGATGAACTCATTGATTTTGTGATTAAAAGATATATATACAATAAAGTAATTTCAGTGCTCAAAATGAACTTGATTAAAGGGTGAATATGATTTCAGGAGGATGTCAAATTAGGTTCATTGCACCATTTACATGAAGACAGAAATAGAGATTTAGGGTCCTTGATAACAGAACTTGTATAGAATCTTAACTATTCTTGTGGCTTCAATGGGAGAAATTGCAAACAGCAAAGAAATATGGAAAAGAAAAGGTCCTCAGAAATGTCCAGACTTGAGGGCAATTGAAGGAACAGTCTACAAGTAGTAAGAGTAATTAAGAAGTGATAACTAGATCTAAGTAGACTGAAGTTCAACAAATGTGCCACCTTTAAAGTAAGCAATAAGTTATGAAAGAGAGGCAGGAAGGATAGGTGTTCCTAGAACAGCTTGTTGGGGAAGGAGAGCAGGAGGTTGCTAAAAGGTTCTTCAAATTCATAGCCAAAGTACCCTGCTGAGAATGAGGGTCTCACAAGTTCGGTCATTCTTGAAAGGAATGGGAAAGGCTTTTAGTCGTTAAATAGGAGAAGAATTGTCCAGAGATATGTCACAGAATTGACCTGTGGCATTAAGTGCCACAGGATCGTGGAAGGCTATAACATTGAAAATGTACTAAACCCACTATTGGGTGATTTCATCCAGCAGTACTCAGCAGGCTGTGAGTAGGAACAGAAAAGAATGAGCCATTAGATTTATCCAAGTCTGGTTGTTTACACGGTATGTGTCAGAAGGACAAGAGGACGAGATTTGATAGTTCTGATAAAAGAGGCTTGAAAATGATCAATCATATAGTTCAGTGTGAGTTAGAAAGAAAATACGACCAGAATGGACTTGGTAAATAGTAATAATAAGATACATAACACCTAAGTTAATATTTATTGTGTTTTTATTTAAGCCAGGCAGAATGCTACAATCTTCTTGTATGTTACCTAATTGAATACTTTCAACTATCCTGTGATATGGGAACTACCAGTAATATATATCACTTTGAAAATGAGGATGCTGAGGGTTAGCATGAATAAGCAACTTAGCAGCTTTTTCAGCTACTAAGTAGTAGAGCTTGGACTTGACTTCAGGCCTTTCAGCTCCAAAGTTGTTCCATTAAAGACCTATAAATATTAATGACAGCAAAGCAAAGATGAAGATGAAAGCAGAAGCTCCCTAGATGAATTGGAGGTTATGTTGAATGGACTGAATATTAGATTTTAAGATATTTCAGAGGTAGGTAGTCCATCCAGAAGATGAAAAGACCTAGAAAAGTTGGTGTGTGAAGGGACTTGTAGGGAAAGATACTGTTTCTGCCCAGGAAGGTGGATCCTGCCTCCAGGCATGGATATTGAGAAACATCCAATCATTTTCAATAAAATAACATGTCTAAATTATATCCAAGCCACAATGCTACGCTCAAATTCTCCCTTTTCCACACAGATATCTTCCCTGATTCTCTTTTCTGGAAAGAATTTATTCTTCCTTTGAACTCACATAATTCCATCTTTGCCTGGATCATAAAATAATATTTTGTTTATTTGTATATTTATCTTATTACCCCTGAGCCACATACCCATGAGTCTGTTTCATCCTTAAATTTTCTAAAGCCTCTAAGATAGTTTCTTGCATGTGTAAGAGGATCAATTTAAAAGATGTTGAAAAGACTAACAAATTAAAGCTTCAAACATTTTTTAACATTCAGATGGGAATTGAGTTTGATGTTTCTTTTCTGCCAAAATGTAGTATTTCTAGTGTTTTTATGTTCCTTGAATATTTGAGAGCCTTTTGAACAGAATATAAAGTTATACTGATTTTTAAATAATATTATTGCATTTCTCAACTGAATTTTGAAACTAATTATATGTTAGAGAGATTTCCTAACTGCAAGGTGATAGCATTGCAAATATTTTTTCCTATAAACCTATAAAACAAAAATATAGGATTTTTTCTATCGGAATCTACCTACCAGTAATCACAGCTATATGATTACTTCATATTGACTGACTAGCCTAAGCACTGGAAGATTGTACAGGCATTTAAAAATTATTAAAGCAATGTAAACAAATATGCTATAAACTCCAATTTTAATTGGTGTTTAATTTATTGAGAAAAATGAAGGTGAGATTTTGACACATTTCAGTTTATTCCACATTAAAAAGAAAAGTAAAACCAAGCTTCCAACTTTCATAAAAATTAATTTTCTTCTAAGGAGGAAAACTATTTTATTTGTGCTGTTACTGATGAATTTATATTTAACTATTAAATTGTTGTTGTATTATAATTCTGAGCACGTTTCTATTGAATTTAAGGAAGGCCATTTGAGTTTAGTAAAACACCTGCAAATGCAGATGAGTGTGAAATGCTGGCTGCATCTGAGCACATTTAAGATAATGTGTTTATTACTCAATTAAAATCCCAAGTAATCTACTACTTATAAATTAGAAAAAGTTGCTGAATTAAAGCCTAGGTTATAATGCAAAATCAAACTCCTTTATTTGGTGAGTAGAAATGTGAACTTTCCAATATGGTATAAAAATCAAACATAGTGGCGGCCCTAGGCAGGGGCCTGGCCCTCCCATAGTGCCTTAAGTGGGCTCCTGGAGGTGACCACCCTGCAGGGGTTAGGGGCGCACTGGGGGTTACCAGGAGCGGCTCCTAGGTGTTCAGGCGCCCAGGAGCTCGAGGTGGCACTTTTGGGACATCCCCACCCCACTCCCTGCCTGGCCTTAGGACATGCCTGGAGGCAGGGTCCACCTTCCAGGGCAGAGGGTCTTTACTCTCCTCTCCATATCAGGGCAAAGGGCAGTGTTTGCCCCCCACCCAATCCCATTTCTGTTCCCTCCCTTGGACAAGGGGCATTGTAGGGGGTGAGAAGGATGGTCCTTCCTCTTGAGTCGGGAAAGTGCATAGGGGAACTATTTAGGGCTGAGAACTTGGGCAAAATGAGGAAAATGAGCGTAGGAACTGGTTTTGGGACGCTTTGGTGACTTGAAAGGTGGTCTGCCTCTTTGGGGAAAAGAGGGGAGGGTCTCCCACCACCGTGTATTGAGGCATGATGACAAGAAGGTGTCACATGCTGCTAGGACTGACCTCTTCAGCTCCATTTGCAGCCTCCCCATGGCCTGGAGGGGTGGAGGTCGGTAGAATGGGAGGACTTTGCCTCCTTTCAGGAATCAGACCGGCTCCTGGGCTGTCTCAATGCCTCCGGGGCTGGAGACTGGCTCCTCCCAAGATCGCAGCCAAAATTGGAGGTGATGCTGCAAACAGCACTCCTGATTTTGTTTTGTGGGGCGGGGGGGAGGGGTAATGAGACAGTTGGAAGATGGAGATCAATCGGAGAGCAAGAAGCTGGCTTCTCAGGGAGACGCAATCAGTTACCAACTTGGACCTATCCATCGTCCTCCAAGGACTTCAATGACAGAAGAGTACAAGGTCCCAGAGGGCATGGTGGGCCTGATCTTTGGCAGAGGGGGAGAACAAATTGACAAAATCCAACAGGATTCAGCCTGCAAAGTACAGATTACTCCAGACAGCAGTGGCCTACCAGAGCACAATGTGTCCTTGACAGGAGCCCCAGAATCTCTACAGAAAGCGAAGATGATGCTGGATGACATTATGTCTCGGGGTCATAGGAGGACCCCAGGACAGTTCCACAACTCCCACAGGGGCCAGAACGGTACCGTGCAGGACATGGTCCCTGTGGGGAAGGCCGGCCTTGTCATCGCTAACGGCGGGTAGACCATGAAGCAGCTGCAGGAACGCGCTGGAGTGAAGATGATCTTAATTCAGGATGGTTCTCAGAATACCAATGTGGACAATCCTCTCCGGATCCCTGAGGATCCTTACAAAGTGCAGCAAGCCTGGGAGATGGTGATGGACATCCTCCAGGAACGTGACCAAGGCGGCTTTGGGGACCGGAAAGAGCAGGGATCTTGGATTGGCGGGGGCATCCATGTGCAGGTGCCCAGGCATTCTGTCGGCGTGGTTATTGGCCGGAAAGGAGAGATGATTAAGAAGATCCAGAATGACGCTGGTGTGAGGATACAGTTCAAGCAAGATGATGGGGCAGGGCCCGAGAAGACTGCTCATAAAATGAGGTCCCCAGACTGGTGCAAGCACGCAGCCTGGATCATCAACGACCGCCTCCAGAGCCTCAGGCGTGGCCCCCCCAGGCCCTCCAGGGGGTCCAGGCATGCCCCCGGGGAGGCCGAGGAAGAGGCCAAGGCAACTGGGGGACCCCTGCGGGGAGATGACCTTCTCCATCCCCACTCACAAGTGCGGGCATCATGATCATCGTAGAGATCTCCTGGCAGCTACCACCCAGCGGGGATCCCAACTTCAAGTTGTTCATTATCCAGGGTTCACCCCAGCAGATCCACCACACCAGGCAGCTTATCGAGGGGGCTCTTCAATCAGGGGCCACCTGGGCTCCCCCGCATGCCAGGGGGCTCCCTCCTCACCAGGGCCGGGGCAATACCTACCCTTAGTGGCAACCACCTGCTCCTCACGACCCAAGCAAAGCAGCTGCGGCTACCGCGGACCCCAACGCCACATGGGCCGCCTACTACTCACACTACCACCAGCAGTCCCCGGGCGCGACGCCGGACCCCGGGGCTCCACCCGCTCAAGGTGAGCCCCCTCAGTCCCCGCCCACCGGCCAGTCGGACTACACTAAGGCCTGGGAAGACTATTACAAAAAGATCGGCCAGGCCGGGCGCGGTGGCTCAAGCCTGTAATCCCAGCACTTTGGGAAGCCGAGACGGGCGGATCACAAGGTGAGGAGATCGAGACCATCCTGGCGAACACGGTGAAACCCCGTCTCTACTAAAAATACATAAAAAACTAGCCGGGCGAGGTGGCGGGCGCCTGTAGTCCCAGCTACTCGGGAGACTGAGGCAGGAGAATGGCGTGAACCCGGGAGGCGGAGCTTGCAGTGAGCTGAGATCCGGCCACTGCACTCCAGCCTGGGCGACAGAGCGAGACTCCGTCTAAAAAAAAAAAAAAAAACAAAGATCGGCCAGCAGCCCCAGCAGCCGGAAGCGCCCGGCAGCACGACTACACCGAGGCCTGGGAAGAGTACTACAAGAAGCAGGCGCAAGTGGCCCCCGGAGCGGGTCCAGGAGCTCCCCCAGGCTCCCAGCCAGACTACAGTGCAGCCTGGGGAGAATATCACAGACAGCAAACCGCTTACTACGGACAGATCCCAGGTCCCGGCGGCCCCCAGCCACCGCCCACGCAGCAGGGACAGCAACAGGCTCAATGAATCGAATGAATGTGAACTTCTTCATCCGTGAAACATCTTTTTTTTTTCCATTTTTTTTTTTCTGTTTGGGGGCTTCGGTTTTGCTTGGCGAGAGAGCGATGGCTGCCGTGAGGAGTATTGGGGAGCCCTTGAGGCAAGCACGGGGGCTCAGGGGAATGGGAGTGTGCCAAGCCCTCACTCTCTCGCCCGCTCTGAGTCTCACATACTTTTTCTTTCAAAATTGGGATCCTTCAGGTTGAGCCAGCCAGAGAAGATGGCGAGATCTAAATATCTGCCAAAAAAGAAACCTTACAAATTAAAAAAACAAAGAGCAAAGCAGAAGTTATTAAGTTTTATGTATATGTATATATGTATACATAAAAGTCTCTATGCTCCACCCCTCGGCATTCCTGAACCTGCCTCTCTGACAATAAAGCAATTCAATTTCTCCCACCCTCGGCCCTCTTGTGTTTAAAATAAACTTCTAAAAAGAAAAAAAAAAAAAAATCAAATATAGTTAACATTGATTTTATTTTCTAGTTTGACAACTCAAGTCTTCATTTCCAAGCATGGCAATCATGTTATTGTGCTGAGGATGCCCTAAGAAAATGCCACAGACTGGATGGCTTAAACAGAAATTTATTTTCTCACAGTTCTGAAGACCAAGAAGTCCAAAATCATGGTGCTGGCCAATTCAGTTTCTGGTAAGGGCTCTCTTCCTGGCTTGCTGAGGCTGCCTTCTCACTGTGTCCCCACATGGTAGAAAGAGACAGCTCTGGTGTCTCTTCCTTTTCTTGTAAGGGCACCAGTTCTATCGAATTATGGCCCCACCCTTGCAGCCTCATTTAATTTTTATTAGTACCTTATAGGCCCTAGCTCCAAATACTATACTGTCACACTGGGAGTTGGGCTTCAACATATAAATTTTGGGAGGATTACAAACATTTAGTCCATAACAACAGTTACATTAATTTATTAAATTAGGTATCTCTTCTATTAATTTGCCTAGCTATTGGCCTATTTAAGTTGTTCTCAAATAGATTACATAATGTTTAAGAAAATACCAATGCCTAGGGCCCACTTAGAGAAATTTTGATTTAACTGATCTGAGATTAGCATTTTTGTTCTTGCTGCTGTTTTGTTCTTAGCAGCATTAGCATTTTTGTTCTTGCTGCTGTTGTCTTTGTTATTGATGAGCTGCTCATTTGGAAAAAAAAGTGACTTTATGTACTTTATTCTGTCATCTATATCTAAAATATATCTGAGTTGCCCAATACATCTTTTTTAATTGAGGTAAAATTGACACACAATGAAATCTAAAGATTAATATAATTAAATGAGTTTTCATAAATATATAGACCCATATGAATATTATCCAAACAAGACACAGAATATTTCTGTCACCACAGAAATCTCTATAATTTCCTCCTCCAGAAAACCCTCTTCCTTCTGAGCAATCATAGTTCTGATTTTTTTCACCATAAATTAATTTTACCTATTCTTGAAATTCATATAAATGGCACCATGCAGTATGTACTCTTTTGTGTCTATTTTGTTTCATTTTGATAATTTAGATTCATCTATATTGTTGCATTCTTATTTGTTCTCTTTAATTGCTATCTAGTACTTTATTGCATGAATATATCATTATTTGTATATCCATTATCCACACTGTTTCCAGTTTGGAGCTATTATGAATAAGTTAGTATAAACTTTTTTATGCATGCTGTTTTATGGGCACATGTACTTGTTTTTCTTAGGTGTATGCCATGGAGTGGAACTGCTAGACTGTAGGGTAGATGAAAGTTGAACCTTATAAGAAACTGCCAAGTACTTTTCCAAAACATTTGTGTCATTTTACACTTTCAGCAGTAATGTATGAAGGATCCAGTTGCTCCATATTGTTTTGTTGACTGTCATGGTAGCTCCTTAACTTTCACCATTTTAGCTGGTATGAAATGGTATCACTGTGGCTTTCATTTGGATTTATCTTTTCATGTGCTTATTGGTCATGCATGCATCCTCTATTTTGTATATTCAAGTATTTTGCCTATTGTTTTAAAATTAGAGTTTTTCAATGAGATCACTTGGACACGGGAAGGGGAACATCACACACCAGGGCCTATTGTGGGGAAGGGGGAGGGGGGAGGGATGGCATTGGGAGTCATACCTGATGTAAATGACAAGTTGATGAGTGCTGACGAGTTGATGGGTGCAGCACACCAACATGGCACATGTATACATATGTAACAAACCTGCACGTTATGCACATGTACCCTAGAACTTAAAGTATAATAAAAAATAAATAAATAATAAAATAAAATTAGGTTTCTTATCTTTTTATTATTCATTCGAAGCAGTTTTTATATGCTCTGGATAAAAATCCTTTGCATTTCAAACATTTTTTCCCAGTCTGGCCTTTACTTTTCATTTTCTTAATGTACCAGCTTTTAGAAAAGTTTGCCAGATGCAGTCATAGAACTATTACTTTCTGCCATATTTCAGGCCCATGTTTCTCTCCTTTTCTCCAGTGTTTCTAGATAAGAATTAACACTGTTTGACAAATTTGTTTCATACATGCTCATTCATTTAATAAGTTGACAATTGTGTTGAATTTGGGTCACTTTCTATTTGACCCTTTTGTCTCAATTTTGGTGCAAGCTAGAGCTTAAACTTGAGTAAAGCATGGCATATTCTGGATGGTATACTAGATTACAGTCCAGTTGGATGTTAAATGAATCCAAACGTTATCACTTCTTATTTTAATAAATTGCTTTCAATAAAAAATTCTCCAAAATCCAGAGTCAATCTTTTCCCTTAAATGATCTCATATTTAATCACTACGCAGTGGATCACACAATAAACACCATTTGGATTCTACTGTAAATTGTCTTCTAGGTATATTATTACACAATCATAATGTCTTCTAGGTATATTATTATACTTTATAACAAATAAATTTGTTTTAAAATTCTTCATTTGGCTATTTTTGACAGAAAAATTCCATCAGATTTTTTTTTCTGATTTTATGATGACTGAAAATTCCAGAATACATAATTTTTTTACACGTTAGCATGACAGCATGTTAAATTAAATGAGGCCATCAGTTTCAAATGATGAAATCACATTAACTTTAATGGAAGCCAACAGTTGTGTCCATACTTATGACAGAATGATTGTGGAAACGTTATTACTTTCATTCAAACATTCAGGACATCCTCAATTCTTCCCCCTCCCTCAAACTCCTGAGACTACTAGCCACCAAGTTATGTCAATGCTCCCTTCAGGATTTGCCTCTAATTTTGTCCACAGTGTCCCATTCCCTCTGCCATTTATTTCGTTGCTCCTGATCATTTCTCACCTTCGCTTTTGCAAAAACCATCTAACTTGTCATCCATACACCAGGTAGATCCCTTTATTCTCTGAAACATTGCCAGAATGATCTTCCAAAAAAAAACCCGCTCAAGTTGCCTCCTTCTAGTAGGTTCCAAAGGCTCCCTCATATCACTAAGACTCCAAAACTCCTCAGCATGGCAACCGAGCCCTGTTATAGATTAGCCCTCTAAATTTCTTGGTACCACATTCATCTCCTGCATATCACACCACATATCTTTCACTCTAGGCACATCAAGTTCTCACTTTTCCTTCCCTACTTTTACACAAGTTTGTACCGCTTTCTCACATCCACTTCCCTTCATTACACCTGCAGTAAGCTTAGCTCGTTCCAAACACAGAACAAAGACAGCCTCCTTGCTTAAGAATTCTCCACTTCTTGCTCCTCAAGTGTCAGAACAAGAAGATTATTTGTAAAAGCACAATGCAGACTGATTTCTACAAAAAAAAAAAATGTAAGACATTAAAGATTTTAAAAATTGATAGGATTGCAAGGTAATGGTTAAGAGTTTGGAATCATAGCTGAGTTTTAGATCCAATTTCCTAGACCTAGTTGTGTTATTTCGGGGAAGTTACTTACGTTTATTGCCTCAGTTTTCTCATTTGTGAAGTAAAAGTGTTTCCACCATAAAAGATACTTGTGAGGATTTTTTAAAATCACGTATATAGAAGAGCTTAGCACAGTATCTAGAATATAATAAATATTCAACAAATGATAGCCATTATCATTCTTATTGCTATTGATGGATTAAATGGTTGCATGCAGAATGAAAGAAAAGTATCTAAAGGTTAGGTATTGTAGAGAGACAAAATAACTTTTCTGATTAAGTTTGTGAAAAATAGAAGAGGATAGGAATTAATGCATGAGAATGTGGATTACAAATTAAAATCTCTACCCCATTTTTACAAATACGTAGTTTGTAGAACAAGAAATCAACATATATAAGAACACCAGAGAACCTAGAAATATCTATTACTATAAAATTGCACAAACTAACTATAAAAGTGCAGTATTGTTTGTAAACTGGCACCAATCTAAAATTTTGTATATAGACAAACGTAATTATTGTACTAGTTTCATTCTAGGTCACGAGACAAATGATTTACCTTTTTAAACAATTATTATGTTTACAGTGCTACTAACAACCAATGTTGTATCCAAAGAGTCTTCAGTGTTCTGGGGTGAAGAGGATAAAACAGAAATTACCCACTGCCAGATTTAAATTGCTTGGTCTTGTGGCTTGTATTAAAAAATAATGCAAATTTTTTTCATCAATACATTGGTATATGTTTGAATATAAAAATATTTTTTATTTAACAAGTAGTAAATATTGCCAATCTAGGAAGATGGGCTGTGTTCCTCACTTATCCCGGGAACACTGCTAAAAATCTTTGATTTGGGATAAATCAACATTTTTAGGTCCAGAGCAAACAACAACAAAAAAGTTTGCTAAAACTGTCCACTTCTTCCAATTGTCTTAAGTTCATACTTATAAAAAGATTATAAGGTCATCACACAAGACGACTGTTCAATTTGATTTTTTTAATCAGTTAAAATTGCTTTCATGCATTAGATATAAAAATATTCAATATAAAAAATAACTTAGTGGTTAGGTTATTGTTTTCAATTTTGAGTCAGTTTGGTCTAAGAAATAATAGTAATAACAATAACGAATATTTCCTTACAAGCATCAATGTAATTTTTAAAAATTTCCTGTGAATAACACTTGATTTATTTCATTTCCCTGCATATGCAAGTTCCACGGAGCCATGAATATGCCTATATTACTCTAGATAGAAATGAGTCTAATGGCTTTGTCTAAAACAATAGACTAACAATAAATAATTATTTGTAATATAGATAAATTCATCTTTGCTTTACAGAGGAATTAGATACAAGATTTCCAATATGTTCTCTTACTAATAAATCTTAATCTTTTTGAACTTATAAATCCCTTTGTGATCTAATTAAAAGCTCTGAAACTTTCTTTCCAAAAAATAATACTTGTATTTGCATATAAACCACATTTTGAGTAGTCTTATCTACTCAT